TATTCTACAGGTGTAGGTTTGCATTTCAACCGCTCATAAGGATAAACCGAAAGGTCTGAACCAGAATCTACGAGGTAACGTACATTTGAGGTAAGATCCGTGACGAAAAGGCGGTTTGAAGATGCTAAGGAGTCGTAATTTTGATCTGCTTTGCTTCCGAAATTCGTCTGTGAGCCGATCGAAACGTTCGGTAAGTGCACTAATTTGCCTTTCCAGCTCGGAAGTTTGCATTGTCGACGAATGTGGAGCGATGGCGTCAGTTTGTGTTACCTGGAACATTTCATGTAACTTATCTGCTGTTTTAGCTAACGTTTCGAGCTGGGAGCTAGGTAGAGAGATTGACAAAAATTCTTGCAACTTCTTAGATAGGTTTGCCAGCCATCTTTTTTTTAGGACTGCTTCGTCGACGGTGGGCGCGAGTGATTTAAGATGGCGCAAAAATTGAGATGGTGATCGGTCGCCGATTGCCTCACCATCCAGCAGTTGTCGCAGTTTCGCTTCCTCAGACTTTGAGAAACACTGGATTAACGTTGTTTTTAGCTCACTATAGGGGGAAGTTTTGGGTGCGTTTATAATAAGAGTCTCAACCTCTTGGGCATAATCTGTGTCGATGAACGAGATCGCGTGGTTAAACTTATCTTTTTCATTATTAATGCCGTGAATCGAAAGTTGTGCGAACCACAAATTCACTCGCTTCGGGTCGAAGGGTGGCGCTTTAAGGGTATTGACGATCAGTGGCTTAATGTCTTCGTCGTCTTTCGGCATCGCGGAAATATGTATTTACCGCGAGGAAAAAAATAAGAATTTTCGAGACTCGGAAAACGGTGTTACGGTGTTTTGTTATTGCCTCTCAGGGCACGTGTGCTGCTCAGGAATGTTCGCGAATCCTCGAGAATATCATATGTTTTAACGCGAAATTTTACGGGGAACGATTTCCTAATAAAATAATGTCAGCATAAATTGCAACAGCTTGAGCTAAATCGGGTTGAACTATTCAGCACACGTGTTTTCACGCTCAACGTAAAAGAAAAAAACCAGCTTTGCGTGGTCGGGGTCACCAATGTAGCGTTGTTTAAATAATACACCGTATTTAAGTGTTATTTAAGTGACTTTATTACGCTACTAAAATTGTCTATAGTAAGGTTTAGCTTTTAGTGCAAATTATGGAAAAACAATATGCGCGAACTATCTCGACGTTCTAGCGGGTTTCTGTCACTATTCTTGAGTGCTTGCTTATGTTCTACTTTTTGTTCTCTCCAATTACTGTGCATAGTGAGAGTGCATAAGTGGTATCGGCAATTATCGATAGTTTCGACTAGTATGTCGATATAAAATGACAACGTAAGGAGGTAATAATGACGTAGTTGCCACATATATACGTATATAATTGAGTTAGTTTAGCGGATTTTTGGAGGTTAAAATCAAATGCGCGGGAATATTCGCCAAAACTTATGTGTTCAGCGTTTATGTGAGGGCGTTATTTGATGTACGGCATATGAAGAGGGGAGGTTTTCATATACCGTTTTGGGGAAGTCCGCTAAACTCTTTATATGAATAAGTAAGTTATTCACTTACTTTGGCAATCCTCTTTTTTTTACAAACCGCTGTGCTGCTATTGTTGTTGTGTGTGCCGTGGACTGTGCTGCTATTGTTGTTGTGTGTGCTGTCGACTGTGCTGCTATTAATGTTGTGCTATTACCTACCAACGCTGTGCGGCGTCTTCTTCCGTTGCTGTTGTTGGGCGGTTGTTTGGCGGCTTTTATGTGGCTACTTGCTGTTTTTGTTGAGCGGCTGAGTTCGCCTTCTCGCTATTGTTGTTGTTGCTAGGCGGCCAATTTGTAGACGGGTATGGCTTTTTTGTTTTGCAAACGTATTTTATGCCAAACATTTTTTTTTATTTATTTTTGTTATATGTATTGGACTTTATTATTTCACGTATGGCCAAATTTGTCTAGTTGTGTTTTGTGAATTGGCTTAGCCTTTTTTTCTAACTTAATGCAACTGGCACTTGTTTGTTTCGCATTTTGTGTATGCACTTGTATATGGGTGTGTATATACCGAGGATTACGTTTAATATTTTAAAAATTTTTAATTTGTTTTTATGAAAATATTTTTTTTTTTGTGTTTTAATGCCACTATTGTGGTTTTATTTGTTTTGAGGTAAGTTCTCTTTTTCGTTTTCTTTCAATTTGTATTTTTCATATTTTCAGCGACTGGTTTTTCTGCACACCCCAATTACGCAGGTAAGTACTTTTCTCTACGCACGTACATATCGTCGTCTCAGAAAACGGATGTCGAATGTTACAAATCACGGTTTTGAGAAAATCGACTTTAAATTTTAAACTCAAATTATTTCGAAGCTACACAGTAAATTATTGTAATTTTTGGATCAGGCCTAACTCATATTATAATTTTTAACTTTGAATGTTTTCGAATTTAATATTTTCAAAACTTATTGAGAAAATGGACCTTCAATTCTGCATACATTTGTCGTATGTTACGTTTGCTCACAATTCTATTTTGTCCATAGGACATACGACAAATGCCAAAACATTTGTTATATTCACAACGGTGTCACAAAGGTTAAATAAATGTTTAGAGTTCTTGAAACCACAACCAACTGTTTTTTAACGGTTCGAAAATTCATAAAATGACTTTTATGGTACCTTAAAAACCCCGCAAATATTTTACCCTAATTGATTTTAGTGCCAACAGTAATATTTGAATAAAACGCAAAATTTTCAATGAAATATAAATATTTATTAAAAATAAGTACAAAAAACTAAAAAAGTTCTTTCAAAATAGTTTTGTACATTTATCATATTCTGTAAAGTTTACAGTGTAAATATATAAATTTATAACAAAAACAAAAAATTAACTCAGTTCGTTTTTTTATTTTTACATCTTAAAACTATTTAAATTTAAATGTATATGCATACATATTTTATTTAACTATGTGATAATATTGCTTTAAAAAATTGTTTGTCAGTCTCACATTCGAGGTAAGGTACCATTTCTGTTACGTCTTTAATTTTATTTCTGTCCAATTTCGGCTTGCATAAAACAAGCAGTGTTAGCTGAAATAAATTGTTTGGGGTTACGTTTACGAAACGTCCACGGGAATGTTTTTTAATGCATGGAGAATTAATATCAATTTCCTTGTGACTCGCTTTATATCCAATATTCCATAAATTATTTTTGTTGTACTCTCTATTTTACTTCCGAAAAATGCACGAGGTTAAAGTTAAAAAGTCCAGCTTTTTGTGAATAGTTTTTGAAATCGTGAGGAGCCATTTGAAGAATTGCGCGCGTATTCATATGGATGGATATGGATTCATGGATTTCACAATAGAACGGCAAAAAGTTACGCAAGACTCGCTGAGGGATGTTGAAATTTATGCGACCTAAGAGAAAAGGACAATCAACACTACCATTAATAATATTAAAAACAAAAGTCAGGGAGAGTACAGAACGCCTCGTTTCCAATGACTTAAGGTTAAGCAAAAGCAAACGACTACTGTACGGTGGTATAGGATCCGAAAAGTTTAAGGACCGCAATGCAAACTTAAGAAACACCTTTTGGACACGTTCTAATCTATTTATGAAAGTTTTGTGGAAAGGCCTCCAAATAAATGTAGCATATTCCAAAATAGGACGAACAAATGATGAGTATAGTAATTTCATAGTATAGGGATCAGAAAATTTTACACAATTCCGCCTCACGAAACCCAAAACAGAGAAGGATTTAGAAATCACAAAATTAATATGCCTACTAAAAGAAAAACTTGAAGTAAAAATGACGCCAAGATCTTTGGCCTCGGCAACAGATTCTAGCGAAGACTCCGCGATTGTATAACTCGTTGATAAAGCACTATGAATTTTTGCAAAAGTTACTTTAAAGCACTTTTTAATATTTAAAGAAAGGCGTGATTTTATGCACCAAAGATTAAGATTATTAATATCGGCCTGAAGCAAAGTAGCATCCCTTTCGTTTCTTATCATTGAAAATACTTTCAGGTCATCGGCATATAGCAAAAAATTTGCGAATGAAAAACATGAGCTAATGTCATTTATGAATAATATAAAAAGTAAAGGACCTAAAATACTTCCCTGGGGTACCCCAGAGGAGGCAAGGAATGCATCTGACGAAATGTCATCTATCGAGACAACACAGCGCCTGTTGATCAAGAAGGATTTAATCCACTTTAAAAAAACGGAATGGAAGCCAAGATATGCTAACTTATTAAGTAAAATCGAATGAGAGACTCTATCAAAGGCTTTACTAAAGTCCGTATAAATACAGTCAACCTGGAAACCTGCAGAAAGAGACGTCATACAGTATTCACAAAATACAGCTAGGTTAGACACAGTAGATCGATTGGAAACAAAACCATGTTGGTTAGGCAGGATTAAACTTTTAGTGATAAAATACATTTTTTCTTTGACTATAGATTCAAAAAGTTTCGATACAGTTGACAGTTTAGAAATGGGCCTGTAATTGCGAACATTATTTTTATTCCCACTCTTAAGTATAGGGTTAATAGAAGTAATTTTCCAATCCTCGATAAAGACACCCGACGCAAGAGACAAATTAAAAATACGATGTAGAGGTAGAATTAGAGCGGGACAGTTCTTGAGGAGAAGAGCAGAAAACCCATCAACATCCGCTTTCGTAGACGGTTTCAGCTTAGAAATGCCAGCTTCCACGTCAAAAAGTGACAGAGTTAGAGTCCCAAAGCTGAACTCAGTGGCTGAATCATGGTTTATATCAGGCTAGGATTACCATCATCACAGACATAGTTGGCACTAAAAAATTCAGCGAAGCGACTCGCCACCTCAGTAGGGCCACTAGCACATTTATCGTCCAAAAAGACAGTCGAAGGAATGCAAGAGCCACATTTCTTAGACTTTATGAAAAGCCAAAAATCTTTTGGATTAGATTTAATGCTCAACTCCACCCCAAAAATTNCCAAAGATTGAGATTATTAATGTCGGCCTGAAGCAAAGTAGCATCCCTTTCGTTTCTGATCATTGAAAATACTTTCAGGTCATCGGCATATAGCAAAAAATTTGCGAATGAAAAACATGAGCTAATGTCATTTATGAATAATATAAAAAGTAAAGGGCCTAAATTACTTCCCTTGGGTACCCCAGAGGAGNGAAAATACTTTCAGGTCATCGGCATATAGCAAAAAATTTGCGAATGAAAAACATGAGCTAATGTCATTTATGAATAATATAAAAAGTAAAGGACCTAAAATACTTCCCTGGGGTACCCCAGAGGAGGCAAGGAATGCATCTGACGAAATGTCATCTATCGAGACAACACAGCGCCTGTTGATCAAGTAGGATTTAATCCACTTCAAAAAAACAGAATGGAAGCCAAGATATGCTAACTTATTAAGTAAAATCGAATGAGAGACTCTATCAAAGGCTTTACTAAAGTCCTTATAAATACAGTCAACCTGGAAACAAGCAGGAAAAGACGTCATACAGTATTCACAAAATACAGCTAGGTTAGACACAGTAGAACGATTGGAAACAAAACCATGTTGGTTAGGCAGGATTAAACTTTTAGTGATAAAATACATTTTTTCTTTGACTATAGATTCAAAAAGTTTCGATACAGTTGACAGTTTAGAAATGGGCCTGTAATTGCGAACATTATTTTTATTCCCACTCTTAAGTATAGGGTTAATAGAAGTAATTTTCCAATCCTCGATAAAGACACCCGACGCAAGAGACAAATTAAAAATACGATGTAGAGGTAGAATTAGAGCGGGACAGTTCTTGAGGAGAAGAGCAGAAAACCCATCAACATCCGCTTTCGTAGACGGTTTCAGCTTAGAAATGCCAGCTTCCACGTCAAAAAGTGACAGAGTTAGAGTCCCAAAGCTGAACTCAGTGGCTGAATCATGGTTTATATCAGGCTAGGATTACCATCATCACAGACATAGTTGGCACTAAAAAATTCAGCGAAGAGACTCGCCACCTCAGTAGGGCCACTAGCACATTTATCGTCCAAAAAGACAGTCGAAGGAATGCAAGAGCCACATTTCTTAGACTTTATGAACTGCCAAAAAGCTTTTGGATTAGATTTAATGTTCAACTCCACCCCAAAAATTTAGTTTTTATAAAGGAATTTGTCTAAGCAATTAAAATCTTTAGCATATTTCTGATATTTGTCAAAGAAAATCTGACTTCCAGTTACTTTAAACTTCTTGAAGAATTTATTCCTAAGATTCTTTAACTTTTTTAACTCCCGATTATACCATGGTAGCTTATGTGGTTTATTTTTCAAAATAGGCACATTTTCCCTACATATATCAACTAACACAGTTTTAAAAGAATGATAGCAATTAGAAATATCCTGTACTGAAAGTAATTCATCCCAATTGAGCATGGAAAGCGAGTTATTTAGCTTGCCGAAATCACAAGACTTGTAATTGAAGATAACTTGCTTAACAGGAGCAGATTTTAAAAATTTTTACAATTCAAATTTCAGTATTAGTGGCAGATGAAGCATGTCAGACTGAGACATAGGACAATAACACTCCTCAATATTGCAGATTATATTGTCGGTTACAAAGATTAGATCTAGAACTCTATATAACTTGTTAAAATACTTATTAATTTGCTTAAGATTTAGACTTAAAAGACTATCGATGAGGTATGACTCATGCGAGGCAGTTATATTGTTAGGAGTGAGCCCGAAGTTCGAAAAAGTGTCCGCCCAACGCACATTGCATAAATTAAAGTCACCTAAAACACATAAGTGACTGTCACCAAGTTTGTTCAAAACTAGAGAGTTGTTATTATCAGCATGCGCATGATAAAGGTCATTCTTACTATTTGGTGGAATGTAGGAAGCCATGATGAACAAGGAATCGTTGAACGACGAGCCAGTGACACATACACAGATCTGATCAAGAAGCGAATTATCATTATCAAGCGCAACTAAATACGAATGCAGATTGCGACGAACTGCAATTAAGACACCTCCACCTCTTAAACATCCAGTTTTCCCAGCGTCTCTATCGTTTCGGTAGACATTGTAAAGGTTAGCGTCGAAAAATTCATTATCATTAAAGACTGAACTCAACCACGTCTCAACAATAACAAAAACGTCATAGTCGAGCTGAGAACTAATATTGCGAACTAATTCAGACTTAGTACGAATGCCAGAAGCGTTTTGGAAGTACAACTTCAATTTGGAAGCGCTCCCAACCGTCTAATTAAATTTTGCGCTACTTGAGTTCTGGTGCATCGTCTTTTTGAAAAAAGCGAAAGGGTCGTATTTTAACATTTGCAGGCCATATATTTTCATTATTTATCACTTTCTCATAGCTGCACGCAGAAACGCCTAGTTTGAAGCTTGCTTTTTTGAGATCATTCAAGTTAGTACCCTTCTTTACTAACATATAGCAAGTAAGAAATTTAGCGTCTACACAAGCATGTTTAGCAACATAACTGATAATTTCGACTGCGGTGACTGTGGGCGAAAACGAAGATACATGTAACCACTTCTGGTTAGGGATGACACTTAATTCATTACTGTTGTTAGCTCCGATAAGTAGCGGTTGTTTCAGCTTCAAGCGCTTGTTATTAACAACAGTCTTCCAAACTGTGGGGGATGGTTTAGACTAGTACCAGAAGAAGTAGTTTCCACTGCAGTGACGTTGTTTACATTAGCATCCACCGCCTGTTGGGTGGGCGACAAAGGAGGCGAAGACGAAAGTGTGGGAGCAGCGGACAGCGTAGCGTCACTTGAAGTTGTGGGAGTAGCAACAGGCAGCTTAGCTTTGTTGGCGTTAGTGTCGTTGTTTCCATCCACAGATATCAGGGTGGCCGATGAAAGAGATGAAGGCGATGATAAAGCCGAGGTTGCGGGCGCAGCAGCACTAAGAGCAACAGCTGATCCAGTAGCGTCATAAGCAGAAAGAGCAACAGGCAGCTTGACACTGTTTGTGTTAGCGACAGCGGCACTATAGGTGAGATATGACTGCGTAACGTCACAAAGAGAAACAGGCGAAGAGACAGCAGATTGAGACACCGTACTGCCAGCGTAATTAGCAGCACCAACTACGTTTTTTGATACATTAGTATTTACACAAGATCGCAGTTTATCCACCTCAGCCCTGATCAAATCAATTGTATCATCTTTTTTGTGCAGAGAATTCTGCATGGAAAGCAGATCGGAGTGCATATTATCAGCTTTCAGCACAAGTTTGCTGTTTTCTTCACGCAAAGCAGTTATCGATTTGAGCATCTGGGCATCTGGGTGCATCCGAATTGACTCACGGCGTGCATCTGCACAGCCTTTACAAAAAAAAACTCCTTTCCGAAGCAAGCAAAAATTCGGCATCAGCAGGCTTTATTCCAACACAAGCCAAGTGGAAAATTTCATTGCACTTCGCGCACTGTATTTTTTCTTGTTGAGTACGATCAACTTTATTGCCACAGGAGCAAGGCATTACATTAAGTGAATAAATAAATAATTTCAAAGTTTTGATAACTCTCAAAAGAGTCACTGTCTCAGTTAATAAATTATTCACGTATACACAAATAGAACTCTATAGTATACATATGTACATTAAAGTTTGAGTGAACTTGACGAGCAAGAGAAACAAACACGTCCGCACTGCACGACGTCTTTTCTTTCAAGGTTAGTGCGAATGTGCTCGAACAGTTGCAGGAGTGAAATTTAATTCCTAAATGAAAGGCAATATTTATGCGCTCAGAGCTGATCCGCAGAAAATGGTGGAGTGCACTCAGAATTTTTGCGACGCACCAAACTTGCACCCGCTGTTCACAAATAAGGATTTTTATAATTTTAGTTTGAAGAAATTAATTTGTTTTATAATTTTTTTTTTATAATTTGCACTTGCGCGCGCGAACCACGCGTTTTTTATTAAATTTGATTTTTTGTTCTCTGTTCTTTAAGCGTGTTTCGGCACCATGTTCAGTTTCGCGTGAATAAAAGGGGTTTACTTTTTTTTTATAGATATTTAAATTCACAATTTATTCAGTTTTAATTTGCGGATTTTACAATTTTTCTCGAGTGGACGCCCGTTTATGTATAAGGATAGCGAACGAATGAACTTAAACCTATTGCTTGGCCATTACATAGCTATCAGATGTTTGTTCACAATAGCCGAAGGTTTGTTACATACTTAAACATATGTACAGGGTGAGTATTTCATTTTGACAAATTTAAGGTATGTATTCTTAGGTAAGTATTAATTCAGGTAATTATTAATTCAGGTAAGTATTAATTTAGGTAAGTATTAATTCAGGTAAGTATTAATTAAGGTAAGTATTAATTCATTAATATAGTACAGAGGGTAAGTGCAAAATATATTTCTTAATATTTAACGGTTGATTAAATTCAGACCCATGTCCTCGACAACTATATTTTTTCGATTTCTTAGGCCCTAAAATTAATAGCAGACTGTTTCCGTTTATTTAATATGCAATTTTCTAGTTTATGGGGCAACGGCAAAAATATTTTCAAATAAATAAAATAAAATAAAAACTTTTTAATAAACAACGCTTTTATAAATGGACTAAAAATTTTAAAATAATATTTATTTATATTTGTTTTGATAACTTGTGATTTTGAAATTTTAGCAAAAGTCATTATAAACCATTAATGAGTTTGAAAACGAAAACCGTGGAGCGCATGCAATACAAAGCATTAGATTTAATTGGCAATAGTCAAACTACATAACTACTTTTTTCTTTTTTGGGGCTGTAACCGCCTAAGCGATTTTGGCCGAGTTCAGTAAAGCACGCCAGTCGTTTCTCCTCTGTGCCCACTGACGCCAATTGGAAACGCCAAGTGNCAAAGCACGCCAGTCGTTTCTCCTCTGTGCCAACTGACGCCAATTGGAAACGCCAAGTGAAGCCAAGTCCTTCTCCACCTGATCTTTCCATCGCAGTGGGGGCCTCCCTCTTCCTCTGCTACCACCAGCGGGTTCCGAGTTGAATACTTTCAGAGCTGGAGCGTCGGTGTCCATTCGAACGACATGGCCAAGCCATCGGAGCCGCTGTATTTTAATTCGCTGCACTATGTCAATGTCATACAGCTCATCGTTCCATCGTCTACGGTACTCGCCGTCGCCAACGTGTAAAGGCCCGTAAATCTTCCGCAAAATCTTTCTCTCGAATACTCCAAGAGCCGTCTCATCGGATGTTGACATTGTCCATGCTTCTGCGCCATACACCAGCACGGGCATGATGAGGGACTTATAGAGCGTTGGTTTCGTACGTCGAGAGAGGACTTTACTCCTGAATTGCCTACTCAGTCCAAAGTAGCACTTGTTGGCAAGAGTGATTCTACGTTGGATTTCAATGCTGACATTATTATCG